GTGGTTCGTGGAGTTGTGCGCATTTAAACTTTCAAATTCCATACAAGATATCTTGTTTTGTTACGGTTTAGTCCCTAACTTTAAACACAAACTTTAGCATTGACGACAATATACTGCAAAATAATTGTATGCAGATTCATAGAATATAATTCCTGGCTGCACAATATATCAGCGAACACTATACCCACAATAAATTATATGCCTTAGAAATTCATTAAAAAACGCATCGTCATACCAAGTTATGCCGTGTCGGTGATAAATCGTTGCAAATTAGTACTCTCAGGGACAAATCAAAACGGCAACTCGACAAATCTGTATCTTCCACTGAAACGTTGGTTGTTGATGTTATCCAACATTAAATTCAAATTAGTTTTATTGTATAATATCTTCATCAAACCACTCAAAATATTGTAATTGAAAATGTATGTTGAAGTACATTGTTTAAGCATATACACATGAGGAGCATAATGTTATTTCTAATCCATCGCAATTCTTCAATCATGAACTCAAGAAAAATGACTTCAAAGTTACACAAATAAGGCATACCGGATGGTATACAGTTTTATATGAATTACAACTCCAAAGCATTTACATCTACTAATAATTAGATGGTATTGTTAAAGTAGGAATGGATTATAAACACATATACCCATATTGTAAACCTAAATATCTGGAAATTTTCTGACACAGAAATATTAAAAACGAAACCATGAAATGCATCACATAAAAAACAAATTAAGCATTGCAGGCATTCAGGATTATGAAATGTAAACAAAACAATCCAAAAAAACATGCTTAAAAAAGAGAATATGTTTTCACAGTTTAACTCGTCAATTTCAAGTGAGATTTTAAGCTTTACTATGTGATAATTAGGGATGGAATCTGAAACAATCTAACCATATTGAATACAGTATAAATAACATTATATGCATGTGTGCAATCATTATAGTATTTATTAAAACGTGAAATCCACATGTCACCTGTAAGTGTTAACTACTTGGGTGTATCACAATTTAATTATTCGATAAAATCAAACGTGTAGATTATTTGTTACAACCTTGCTTGATGTGATTCTAACTAGGTTATACTTATGATGGTAAATAATAATATCTTCTAATAACAATTTGTAAAACCATGATTTGATAGTAGGAATATCCAATTAATCAGTATACCCAATATTTCCCTACACAAATCCAATATCGACAATGGACACTCAATTTATACAACAATCATAATATGTTTAATCTTTAACTTTAAATACTATTATCAATAACATTTACATGAACAAGAGAAATGAAGAATACATTTTAGTAGAATTCAATTCAGTGTCAGTCAGACTGTGACTGGAAAAGTTTTTTTTTTGCTTCATAAATCGCCGTTTTTCACTTCTCTATTACACCATTGACATTTTGCAGATAAAATAACAACTTCAACAAATTACGTTATACAACACCTTGTCACTATTTATAAAATTAAGGCTATTATATTGAACCAAAATAAAAGAAAACACTCACTAAGAATGATTTTAATTTAATGCGATAATACAATTATTATACGTCCTGCGACCACAATGCAATGTTACAATGTTATGGGAAATAAATATGCATTCAATATTAATCAAATTAAGTCACTCAAGTAAGTAACGTAGACGGTGAAACCTATATACATGTCTTTCTAATTATATAAAGTCAAACACTTGAATATTGAATAATACAAAATCTGATATATTTGAAAATGGGAACACAGATTTATAATCATCCCTCAGCATAGAGTAGATAATATATTCACACAAAGACCCATCTAACTTTTGAGGAATTACAATAAAAAGTTTTCAAGTTAAATGGATATAAACATTTGAACATTGTCTAAAAATAAATGAACAATTTACAATTAGGAAAGAAATTACTAATAAAGAATACCGAATCATAATATAACAAGGGCGTTAAAAACAAAATCAATCTATTGAGAGGGTTTGCAATTTGTCAGATAGAATTATAACTGGCGATGAAAACTATTACAATATGAATTGAATATGAATATTACACAGAGATACATTATTGTATAAGCCCTCATTTTCTTTCTTCAAGTGGCTGAACGTTCAAGTCTTTGTTCATTTGCTAAAATATTTTACGATGCATGTATCTCACTGGAACGCTGTGTGCAGGTGCAATATTATTTCTTGCATTTCATGAGTATACAACGTTTAATGGCCATTATGAATGACAAAAATATCACTAAAGCATTCACACCTATCATAAAATATGTAAAACCGAAGAAAAATATAACGAATATATGCGAACTATCATAACTGGCATCATCTGCAAAAAAATATATATATACATATATATATATTAAATGAATGGAACACAGCGTTCACATAGTTAATACAAAACCGATATACACTGGCAAGCGACAATGCATAACCTTTAGTCAGGACATACGCATACATATTTACGGAGTACTATTGAAACCTGTAGCGAATAGTTGCTTAAAGGGCAATAAATTTGTCTCCAATATAATGGCGAGTCACAAAAAATACTGATACTATAGTACGTACCAATTGCTGGAAACATGTCCGCGCATGTGTCATCTTCTTCATTCCATTTACAACTTACATGTGCGTTGCAGTCACTGTATGTCAGATGAAGAACATATTAAAATGAACCATTTTTTTTACTTACTAACAAAGGTATTTACACCTC